ACTCTCCACCTGGACGTGTGGGGCCCAGCCCGCGTCCGTGGACAGGGCCACGAGCGGTACTTCCTGCTGGTCGTCGACGACTACACGCGTTACACCACGGTCTTCCCCTTGCGCAGCAAGGGGGACGTCCCTGCTGTTTTGATCCCTTGGATCCGCGCTGTTCGTCTCCAGCTCCGCGAGCGGTTCCAGCGGGACTTTCCTGTCCTGCGTCTGCACTCTGACAGAGGCGGTGAGTTCACCTCAGACCTCTTGGCAGCCTACTGTGCGGAGCACGGCATCACCCAGTCGTTCACGCTTCCGGCCTCTCCGCAGCAGAATGGAGTTGCTGAGCGCCGCATTGGCTTAGTCATGGAGGTCGCTCGTACCTCCATGATCCATGCGGCTGCCCCCCATTTTCTGTGGCCGTTTGCGGTCCGGTACGCCGCGCATCAGCTCAACCTCTGGCCCCGTGTCTCCTTGCCGGAGACCTCGCCCACACTACTGTGGACGGGGAAGGTTGGTGATGCGTCGCGTTTCCGGGTCTGGGGTGCTCGTGCCTTTGTCCGCGATACCACTGCGGACAAGCTCTCCGCCCGCGCTGTCCCCTGTGTCTTCCTTGGCTTTGTCCCTGACGCGCCTGGTTGGCAGTTTTACCACCCCACCTCGCGCCGTGTCTTTGCGTCTCAGGACGTCACGTTCGACGAGTCGGTTCCCTTTTACCGTCTCTTCCCCTACCGGCTGCCCCGCTCCCCCCCCCGCCGCTCTTCCTCGCTCCAGGTGCTCCCCAGGTAGACCCCCTCCCCGCTCCCGGTCCTGCTCCTTCAGGTGTGTCTCAGGTAGACCCTCCTCCCTTGACTGCGCCGGTTGAGGTCACTGGTGACTCAGGTCCTGCTCGGGGTGCTACTTCTGGGGGTGCTGAGCCTGGGGGTGCTGAGCCTGGGGGTGCTGAGCCTGGGGGTGCGGAGCTTGAGGGTGTGGGGCCTGGAGGTGCTGAGCTTGGCAGTACTGAGTCTGGGGGTGCTGCACCTGGGGTTGCTGAGGCGTCTGGTGAGCTGTCTCCCTGGAGCGGCCGTCTCCGTAGTCGCTCCGCTGGTGCCTCGCCGCTGCCCTCTCGTCGTCCACTCCCCCTCTCCTCCCTGCAGCTGGTTGAGTGGTACCTTGGCCGTCAGGGCCGCGCTGCTGGAGGTTCTGGAGCTGCTGAGGGTACTGACACTGGGGGTTCTGGAGCTGCTGAGGGTGCTGGCGCTGGAGGTTCTGGAGCTGCTCGAGGGCCTGGTCCTGGTAGCGCTGGAGCTGGAGGTTCTGGAGCTGCTGAGGGTGCTGGCGCTGGAGGTTCTGGAGCTGCTGGAGGTACTGGTGCTGAGGGTGCTGGCGCAGGAGGTTCTGGAGCAGTTTGGAGTGCTGGTGCTGAGGGTTCTGGGTCTGTTGTTGCGCGGTCTCCTTGGAGTAGCCGCCTTCGTCCACGTGTGCCTCTCACCTCGCAGCAGCTGCACGACTGGTACGGTCGCCGTCAGGGTCGCGCTGCTGGAGCCCGGGGCTCTGCTGCTGGAGGTACTTCTGCTGACGTCCCTGGAGCTAGGAGTGGTGCTGGTCCTTTGTCTACTGGAGGTGCTGGAGTCGCTGGTCCCGGAGGTGCTTGTACTGGAGGTACTGGAGCTACTGGGGCTGGGGGTGCTGCGTCTGGAGGTGCTGCTGCTGGAGACACCGAGGCTGGAGACCCTGGGACTGGAGGTGCTGGTTCTGGTGGTGCTCCTGCTGGAGACCCTGGGACTGGAGGTGCTGGTTCTGGGGGTGCTGCTGCTGGAGGCACTGAGACTGGAGACCCTGCGCGTGGAGGTGTCGGTTCTGGGGCTGGAGCTTCTGGAGCTGCTGGAGGTGCTGGAGCTGCTGGGGGTACTGGAGCTGCTGGAGCTGCCGGTACTGGTGCAGCTGCGCCGACACGACTGTTCTTTGCTCCGCCGTCTCCGTCGTCTCTGCCGCCGCCTGACTCTGTTCTTCGTCAGGTTCTTACTCTCCCGTCATCTACTGGTCTTCCGTTACAGCCTGGCTCACCGCTGCCTGCTCCTTCTCCTTACACTGAGCAGACAGGTGGTCTTGCTGAGCGTCGTGAGCCTGCGTCGCGTCCTGTCTCGCCTGTTCGTCCTAGTCGTACCGGTCGTCGTGTTCCTCGTCCGCGTCAGCCGGCTGTCCCCGGCACACGCCTTGTAGCCCTGCGTCGGTCCCCTACTCCGGAGCGTACTCCTCTTCCGTATCCCTCTGAGTCCTCTTTGCCTGACGTCGCGGACCCTGAGTCTGACCGGTTTCGTGCTGAGCACCCTACTGTCACGCGTCTGCTAGCCACTGTTGTCACTGACCCGTCGTTTGAGTCTGCTGCTGCGTCTGCCCTGGTCGCTGAGCTTGTTGACTTTGCTGCTGCCTGTCGTCTAGACTACGCTGCTAGTCTTGTTGCTGAGTCTGAGTCTGTCTGTCCTCCGTCCGTCGGGGGTGAGTGTGCCCTTGGCACGGACGTCCTTGAGGACAGGCACGAGGACCTTGAGTGTCTTGCAGCCACTGCGCCTCATCTCGTGGCCATGCTGCTTGCCCATGAGGGAGACCCGGATGCTATAGACATCCCCACACCGTGCTCTTACGCTGAGGCGATCGCGGGTCCCTACTCCTCTCAGTGGCAGGCAGCCATGGACGCAGAGATGGCATCCTGGAAGTCCACAGGCACTTACGTCGATGAGGTTCCCCCTCCCGGGGCGAACATCATCGATGGCATGTGGATTTTCAGGGTGAAGCGGCCGCCAGGTTCTCCGCCTGTCTTCAAGGCGCGTTACGTTGCTCGAGGCTTCAGTCAGCGAGAGGGAGTTGACTTCTTCCAGACCTTCTCCCCTACCCCGAAGATGACCACTTTTCGGGTGCTGCTGCACGTTGCCGCTCAGCGTGACTACGAGCTTCACTCCCTTGACTTCAGCACAGCTTTCCTACAGGGCAGCCTGCACGAGGAGATCTGGCTGCGCCGCCCACCTGGCTTCACTGGGACGTTCCCTCCTGGTACCCAGTGGAGCCTCCGCCGGCCAGTCTACGGTCTCCGCCAGGCACCCCGTGAGTGGCACGACACACTGAGGACTACCCTTGCGGCTCTTGGGTTTGCGCCTTCGACTGCTGACCCTTCACTGTTTCTACGCACCGACACTTCGCTGCCGCCGTTCTATATCCTCGTGTACGTCGACGACTTGGTCTTTGCTACTGCTGACACTGAGGCCCTCGCCCTGGTGAAGTCCGAGCTGCAGAAGAGACACACGTGCACAGACCTGGGTGAGCTGCGCAGCTACCTTGGCTTGCAGATCACCCGGGACAGAGCATGCCGCACCATCACACTGACTCAGTCACACATGGTGCAGCAGGTCCTTCAGCGCTTCGGCTTCACCTGGTCCTCAGCACAGGCCACTCCTCTGGCTATAGGTCACTCGCTCTCAGCTCTGCCTTCGGATGAGTCCGTAGAGCCGAGTGGTCCTTACCCAGAGCTAGTGGGCTGCCTCATGTACCTGATGACTTGCACTCGTCCTGACCTTGCGTACCCTCTTGGCCTTCTGGCTCGCTACGTGGCTCCTGGTCGGCACCGAAAGGTGCACTGGGATGCTGCGAAGAGGGTACTGCGCTACTTGTGCAGTACATCGGGCATGGGGCTCGTGCTTGGAGGACGGCGAGAGGTGGTCCTCACTGGGCATTCAGACGCTTCTTGGGTTGACGACCAGGCTACGCAGCGGTCGTCACAGGGTTACACTTTCAGCCTTGGCTCTGGTTCTGTTTCTTGGCGTTCTACTCGCTCGTCTTCTGTTCTCAGCTCCAGTTGTGAGGCTGAGATCTACGCCACCGCCATGGCTGCTCAGGAGTTACGCTGGCTCACCTACTTGCTGACCGACCTGGGAGAGCGGCCTCGTTCTCCTCCAGTGCTGTACGTCGACAACAAGGCTGCCATTGCCTTGTGTGAGGAGCACAGACTGGAGCACAGAACGAAGCACATCGCTCTGCGGTACTTTCTGGCTCGAGAGTTGCAGCAGCGTGGTCAGCTTCGACTTGCACACGTGGCCACTCGGGCCAACAATGCTGAAATATTCACCAAGGCACTTCCGTCTGGTGATCATCAGCGCTTTTGTACTTTGTTAGGCCTTGTACCTACGTTTCCACACTTGCTGTAGTCTTTTGTGTGTACTGTATGTTAAATTATAATGGGTTCTATGTTGGTAGGCTGTAGTGGGGTAGCCAATATGGGGTACAACCCCAACTAGGGTTTCATATTTGTACCCAAACTTCTGCTAGTTCATTCATTCTTGCCTAGTGATTCTGATATGGTATTCAGAGCAGGAGGTCCCTAGGACCTACCGACCGTTTTTTTTTAGGGCCCACCACCGCTCGCATGCGGTTACCACGCTACCCCGTGCTGTACCTGAGAGAGCAGACTCGCAAGCAGTAGGGACAGTGCTGGAGGGAGCAGGTACAGGGGGCACCATACCAGAGAGAGCAGACGCACTAGTACCTAGGGCAGCGGGCCCTATACCTGGGTCAGGCGGCACACACAAGTAACAGTCTCCCTCGGCACTAACAGTCAATGCATACATGGCAGCAATAATAGCATCATAGTCAAGAGCAAAGATATCAACCCCAGCCCTCATCAGCTCAGCCCAGCGAGGGCGCTCAACATCCTCGCCCATCTCCTCACGCCAAGCGTCGTCAAGGCGGAAGAAGCAGCGGTACGGGGTGTGAAACCTCCCACACGTCTGTCCCTTGCGATCACCTGTGCGAATGACATAGGAACAGCGGCCACTGCCCCCCGACGTCCCACGCTGAGCAAGCCACTCACGAAGCTGCTGGGTCGACTGGGGACGCTGCTGCTGCTGGGAGCTCTGATGCTGGCGAAGGAGGGGGAGCTGGGGTGCAAGGTGTCGATTACCATAGACATATGGACGGCACCCAACAACAGAGCATGGCTGGTGGTGACCGGCCACTGGATAGACGAGGCCTTCCAGCTGCGCACGATGGTGCTCGAGTTCCGTGAGATGCTCGGGCGGCATGGAGGCAAGGAGATTGCGAAGGTGGTTGAGGAGACAGTGGTGCAGTGGAAGTTGGAGGGGCGTTGTCTTGGGTTGACGTCAGACAACGCCTCCAGCAACATTGCTGCCTTCAGGCGGCTGTCGGAGGAGGGTGGTGGGAGGTGCTTCTTCACCGAGCGCATGCACTTCCGGTGAGTGTGTGTGCGAGAGAGCGTGTGGGCTGCGGGCGTGCCTAGTTGTGACTTTTTTTGTGTGTCCCTAAACGTATGTCCTCATGGCTTGCTTTGACCCGACCCTCTCACCCTTCCCCTTTTGTCTGTCTTTCATGCTGTTTTGCGTGTGCAGCTGCCTGGCACATGTGATCAACCTTGCCGTGAAGGCAGCTCTCGCAGTGGCCGCCATCCGCAAGCTGCTGAAGATCCTGAGGGAGATGGCGTCGTGGGTGGGCTTCTCGCCGCAGCGCTCAGGGAAGTTCCTGGGCCTGCAACGGACCTTGAACGCGCAGGCCAACCCCGCCAAACCGAAGCCGGCACTGAAGCTGGTGCAGGACTCTCCCACGCGCTGGGGCTCGACACACGACATGGTCGAGCGAGCCGGGGTTCTGCAGGAACCTATCAACGTCTTCTTTGCCCAGACAGCGGTGTGTGTGTGTGACGGGTTCTCGCGACCGGGGTTGTGTGTGTGCGGGGGATACGTGTGCTGGCAATCCTTACCACCTAGACAAAGCACTGACAACACTGTGTGTGGTCATGTTTGTTGTGCGTTTTACAACTACACGCCACCCTCTCTAACCTAAGTTCCCTTGTGTCAACCATGCCTATCCAAACCCACAAACCTACAGGGCTTGTCGGCGACTGACAAGAAGAAGGTCGAGAGCTTGCGCCTGACAGACGCAGATTGGGACACTCTGCATGCTGTCAAGGCACTCCTCAGTCCATTCGCCAGAGTCTCGAAGGCAGCGGAGGGGGCGGCGTACCCTACAGTGTCGATGGTGTTGCCGTACTACAACGGCCTGATCGACGCTTGGAGGCGCGCCTTGCGAAGGGGCCATCGGCTGCGCTGAAGCCGATGATCGAGGCGGCGCTGGGGGTCCTGAAGAAGTACGCGTACATGTCCTCCAACGAGCTGTGGATCGCCACCTTCTTGGATCCGTCCATGAAGGCGGCGTGGTTTGATGACGAGCACTGGGAGTCGCAGCATCCCGAGACCGAGCCGAGGGTGAGGCCGCGTCCCACTTCTAGCGAGGTGGTCCAGCTGGTACGCGATCGCGTGGCCGAGTACCAGGCCCGGGCTGCAGCGCTTGCCCCCCGGGCGCCCCCACTTGCCACCGTGACGGAGGAGGAGGAGGGTGACGCAGCGGATGACGACGAGGATGCGCAGTACATCCCTAGTCGCCGTCGCCTTGCAGCGCGTCTCTCAACGAGCCAGCAGGCGGAGAGGGGTGGGATGCTACAGGATGACGAGGTTAGCAGGTACCTGTCGGAGCGGGTGCGGGAGGACGTGACGGCTCTGGAGTACTGGCGCACCGCCACCAACATGCAGACGCTCAGGCGCATGGCCCGAGACTATCTCGCGATCCCTGCCACGTCCGCATCGAGCGAGCGGGTGTTCTCCCTTGGCCGCAACGTCATTTCCTGGAAGCGGCACCGCCTGGCCTCCCAGAGAACGCGAGCTATCATGGTTCTCCGATCCTGGTACACCTCACACCCCGGCCAGAGGATAGGCGAGGGCCGCCGACAGAGGGGCGTCGCACCGCCAGAGATTGCCATTGAGGGCGAGGGGGCGGAGGACGATGACGAGGAGGAGGAGGAGGAGGAGGAGGAGGAGGAGGAGGAGGAGGAGGAGGAGGAGGAGGGAGAGGAGGAGGAGGAGGAGGAGGAGGAGGAGGAGGGGGAGGGTGAGGGGGATGCTGATGACACAGCGACTGGGGTGGAGCCTGCTGTTGGTAGTAGCAGTGGCGCGGCGTTAGCGTAGGGTTTTTATACATTATATAACTCTTGTTAGACAATGGGATGTTGTTTGTAGCACTGGGTCGGTTGCAGGAACACTGGGGCACCATGCGAACCCTTTGTTTATCTCTCTGGCCCGAAAAAAACCCTTTCTGACAGGTGTGATTCTAGTGAATGTGATCAAAGGCGAACTCGAACATGTTCGGGTCGAACATGTTCGAGTTCGCCTCCGTGCTCAAAATGTTCGCCCCTTGGGCCGAACATCGAACACCATAGGCGGCCTAAATCGTTCGCCGAACCGAACAGTGTTCGGTTCGGCTGTTAGAGCTGTTCGACCAGGGACGAACTCGAACCTGTTCGAGTTCGGCCTTTGCTCAACCCTATGATGGTGCATGGATGATGATGGTGCATGGATGATGATGGTGCATGGATGATGATGGTGCATGGATGATGATGGTGCATGGATGATGATGGTGCATGGATGATGATGGTGCATGGATGGTGATGGTGCATGGATGATGTTGGTGCATGGATGGTGATGGTGCATGGAAGGTGATGGTGCATGGAAGGTGATGGTGCATGGATGATGATGGTGCATGGATGATGATGGTGCATGGATGATGATGGTGCATGGATGATGATGGTGCATGGATGATGATGGTGCATGGACGAGGGGCGTGGATGAGGAAGAGGCACGACTGAGGATGGGAGGGACATGGATGTCTTCATTCTTAGCTCAGCCACATCCTTCCATTCTTAGCTCAGCCACATCATTCCCCAAAAGCATAAGCCAACAAGGCCAGTCTTCACTCCACTCATTCACCTCACCTCACTCGCTTTACCTCACCTCATCTCACTCGCTTCACCTCACCTCATCTCACCTCATCTCCTCTCACCTTACCTCAAATCATCCCATCTCACCTCACCTCAAACCATCTCATCTCACCTCACCTCAAATCACCTCATCTCATCTCTCTCATCTGCGTCCACCCTTTAATCTACTCGGAACACCAGTGAATCGCAAGCCAAGTGACCTGGGACAAGTCGAAGAACGAATCATCCTTGCAACTCCTTCCTGCATTGGCCTGCTCAACTCAAACTATCTTCCCCTCTTCCTGCACTCCCTGGCTCATTCCGTCCTCCTATTCCTTCCGTCTCCGACCGACAGTGCAATCCCACCCACAGCCGCCCCACTGCCACTCACAGCCCGCAGCCACCGTGGCACCCCTCATGCCCCCATCCCCACTCCCTGCACCAATCTCAACCGACGCAAATCCCAACCCCACTTGCCCTGCCCTGCCGTCCGCTGCCTCATCGATGCTCAAACCCTCTCTTCTACTCAGCCGTTGTCTGTTTCACTCACCATGCCGACTCCACTCAGCCTATAACTATTCCACTCACCCTATAACTATTCCACTCACCTCGTGCTTCTTCCACTCACTTTCGGTTCCCACTCACCCTCTGTTTCCACTCGGCCTCTATTCCCCTCGCATACGGTATTCCCCTCATCCCATGTCGCCTCGTCTCCCCGCGCCTCCCTGCCCCTCCCCTGGCCGCGCCTCACCAGCAGCGGGGGTGCGCCTCACCTGCAGCGGGGGTGCGCCTCACCTGCAGCGGGGGTGCGCGCGTCACGCCTTGAGGCGGAAGGTGGTGGAGCGGATGACGTCATCGTCGCGGTTGAGGCGCTGCTGCAGATTCACCTGCGCTTCGGAGCGCGCGGCGAAGATAAACAGGAAAAAGATGCCGTCCAGGTAGCGGCTCATCACGCCGCCCATGTTCTTTGTCTTTATGCTATACGCCAACGGCTGCATGCCGCGGTTGAAGATCTCCACGTCCAGTGCGCCGCCCGCCACGAGAAACTGCACGTGCGGAACGTGGGGAGGGGGAGGGAGGAGGCGGAGCGGAAGGGGGGAAGGATGCATGAGACACGTGTGCTTGAGGGAGTGCCGATGCGGGTAGTGCGCGGCGGAGGGCATCGAGCAGACCTTCACGCTTCCGGACTCCCCACAGCAGAATGGGGTTGCTGAGCGCCGCATTGGCCTGGTCATGGAGGTCGCTCGTACCTCCTTGGTCCACGCGGCGGCTCCCCATTTTCTATGGCCGTTTGCTGTCCGGTACGCCGCGCATCAGCTCAACCTCTGGCCCCGTGTCTCCTTGCCGGAGACCTCGCCCACCCTGCGTTGGACGGGGGAGGTTGGCGATGCGTCGCGCTTCCGGGTGTGGGGTGCTCGTGCCCTTGTCCGCGATACGTCCGCGGACAAGCTCTCCTCCCGCACGCTTCCCTGTGTCTTCCTTGGCTTTGTCCCTGACGCGCCTGGCTGGCAGTTTTACCACCCCACCTCGCGCCGGGTCTTCGCCTCTCAGGACGTCACCTTTGACGAGTCGGTCCCTTTTTACCATCTCTTCCCCTACCGTACTGCCCCCCTCCCTCCCCCGCCGCTTTTCCTTGCTCCTGGTCCCCCTCCGGTAGACCCCCTCCCCCCTCAGGGTCCTGCTCCTTCAGGTGTCTCTCAGGTAGACCCTCCTCCCGTCGCTGAGCCTGTCGAGGTCACAGGTGACTCAGGTGCTGCTGCAGGTGGTGCTACTTGGGGTGCTGAGCCTGAGGGTGCTGGGCCTGGGGGTGCTGGGACTACGGGTGCTGGAGCTGAGGGTACTGTGCCTGAGAGTTCGGCGCCTGGGGGTGCTGAGCCTGGGGGTGCTGCGACTGGGGGTGCTGAGCCGGCGTGTGCGGAGTCTGGGGGTGCTGAGTCTGGGGGTGCTGCGCCTGCGGGTACTGAGCCTGGGGGTGCTGCTACTGAGCCTACGGAGCCTCGGGTTGCTGCGTCTGGGGGTGCTCCGGTTCGGGGTGCTGAGCAGTCTCTCACACCACAGCAGCTTCGTGACTGGTACGTCCGGCGCTTTCGCCGTCCTAGTGGCTCGGCTGGAGCTGGGGGTGCTGGAGCTGCCGGGACTGGTTGTTCTTGTCAAGAAAATAGGCAAAAGAGAGGGATGAACTAGCAAGAATGGGGGTACAAATAGCAAACCCTAGAAGGGTTGTACTCGCTATAGAGCACCCCACTACAGGCTAGAGCATAATATTCTGACACACCCCCATAGCCAAAGTGGGGTGTAATCAGCAGAGCAAACAAAGCAGTACAAGCTCAGGGTGGATCACAATGTCACCACACATTCTGAGCACAAGCAAGAAGCAATAGTTTAAGGTTCAAATTATGAGCAAAGCTAGAGGCAGTCACAGGGGGGCAAGTGAGGAGGAGGAGGGCTGGCGAGAGGAGAGTAGATAGGAGGCGACGACTGAAGCTGCAGACACACGGGCAACAGACGGCTCTGGTGCGACAACGTGGCTACCGGGAATGAGTGCCCCGGAGTACAGGAGTAACAGGCTCCGCGGCTAATATGCGCGGCAGGAGCAACGGACCCACAGGCGACGGCGCAACCGGCTCTCTGAGCTACCGGTGGCTAATCGAACCCCGGAATACAGGCGCTGCGGACGACACGACGGCGGCCTCCGCTCAACCTCCTCCAACTGTCCCACACCCCTCGACACACACCCCCTGCTGCGCCCCTAGCTCCACTCCCCCTTCACCCCCCTAGCACCACTCCTTCGGCTCCCCACACAACCACCCCCCTGAGCGGCAGCTGCAGAAGCGGGAGACGAAGGAGGAGGATGAGGAGGGGACGGTGCACACAACCGACACCCCCATAGCCGCCACCCCCACACTCCTCACCCCCAAACCCTAAAACGGGCGGAACGGGGGAAGGAGCGCGGGGGATGGCGAGGGGGACGGTGCGCGACCCCCAGGACGCCACCACGGGGCAGCGAGGGGCCGCGCGCGGCTCCTTAGGGCGCCGCGAAGGGGCAGCGGGGGGTCGCGCACGGTTCCCCAGGGCGGCGCGACGGGAAATCGGGGGCCGCGGGCGACGGGAACGGGGGGCCGCGGGCGACGGGAACGGGGGGCCGCGGGCGACGGGAACGGGGGGCCGCGGGCGACGGGAACGGGGGGCCGCGGGCGACGGGAACGGGGGGCCGCGGGCGACGGGAACGGGGGGCCGCGGGCGACGGGAACGGGGGGCCGCGGGCGACGGGAACGGGGGGGCCGCGGGCGACGGGAACGGGGGGGCCGCGGGCGACGGGAAATCGGGGGCGCGCGGGGGTCCCCCACGGTAGGAAACCCTAAAAATTTTCGCCGCGCGCTCCGCGCACGGCAGGAAGAAGACGACGCACGCCCGAGGCGCGCGAGAAGCATAACAGCAGCGGAAGCAGTTAGGTGGTGGGCCCACCCACAGGATCGACCCAAGGGGGTCGACCTGCTCTGATAGCATGTCAAGAAAATAGGCAAAAGAGAGGGATGAACTAGCAAGAATGGGGGTACAAATAGCAAACCCTAGAAGGGTTGTACTCGCTATAGAGCACCCCACTACAGGCTAGAGCATAATATTCTGACAGTTCTGGGAGCACTACGACTGGAGCTGCTGGAGCTGGGGACTCTGGAGCTGGCGGCGCTAGCGGAGTTGTAGCTGCGGACCCTGGGGGTGGTGCTGCTGCTGGTGCTGCGGACCCACCTGGTGGAGCTGCTGCTGGAGCTGAGGACCCGAGCGGTGGCGCTGCTGCTGGTGCTGGGGACCCGGACGCTGGAGTCTCTTCTGCTTCTGGAGACGCTGCGCGGCCGCGGCCGTACTTCGTACCGCTCCTTCAGCAGGTTCTTGGGCAGGCTCCTCCTCCTTGTCCTCCTCCCTCCGTAGAGTGTCCTCCGACTGTCCAGCCGCAGTCACAGTTACCGCCTGCCTCGCCTCTCCCTGCTCCCTCTCCTTACACTGGTCCCACAGGAGGTCTTACAGAGCGTCGTGAGCCTGAGTCTCGTCCTGCGTCGCCTGTCCGTACTGCTCGCACTGGTCGTCGTGTCCGTCGTGAGCGTCCTCCTCCTGTCCCAGGCACTCACTACATGACTCTGCGTCCTTCTACTGCTCCTCAGCGTGTCCCTCTGCCGTCTCCTCCTGCGTCCTCTTTGCCTGACGTTCCCGACCCTGAGTCTGACCGGTATCGTGCTGAGCACCCTACTGTCACGCGTCTCCTAGCTACTGTTGTCACTGACCCTACCTTTGAGTCCTCGGCTGCGTCTGCTCTGGTCGCTGAGTTGGTCGACTTTGCTGCTGCCTGTCGTCTAGACTACGCTGCTCGCCTTGTTGCTGGGTCTGAGTCTGCGTCTGTCTGTCCTCCGTCCGTCGGGGGTGAGTGTGCTCTTGGCATGGACGTCCTTGAGGACAGGCAGGAGGACTTTGACTCTCTTGCGGCTGCTGTACCTCATCTCGTGGCCTGGTTGCTTGCCCCTGAGGGAGACCCGGATGCACTAGACATCCCCACTCCGCGCACTTACGCAGAGGCGATCTCGGGTCCCTACTCCTCTCAGTGGCAGACAGCCATGGACGCAGAGATGGCATCCTGGAAGTCCACAGGCACCTACGTCGACGAGGTTCCCCCTCCTGGGGCGAACATCGTCGATGGCATGTGGATTTTCAGGGTGAAGCGGCCGCCAGGTTCTCCGCCTGTCTTCAAGGCTCGTTACGTTGCTCGAGGCTTCAGTCAGCGTCAGGGGGTCGACTTCTTCCAGACCTTCTCCCCCACCCCGAAGATGACCACTCTTCGGGTTCTGCTGCACGTTGCTGCTTAGCGTGACTACGAGCTTCACTCTCTTGACTTCAGCACAGCGTTCCTGCAGGGCAGCCTGCACGAGGAGATCTGGCTGCGTCGCCCACCTGGCTTTACTGGGTCGTTTCCTCCTGGTACCCAGTGGAGCCTCCGCCGGCCAGTCTACGGTCTCCGCCAGGCGCCACGCGAGTGGCACGACACACTGAGGACTACACTTGCGGCTCTTGGGTTCGCGCCGTCTACTGCTGACCCGTCGCTGTTTCTGCGCACAGACACGTCGCTGCCGCCGTTCTACATTCTCGTGTACGTCGACGACTTGGTCTTTGCTACTGCTGACACTGAGGCACTCGCTCGTGTGAAGTCGGAGCTGCAGAAGAGACACACCTGCACTGACCTGGGTGAGCTGCGTAGCTACCTTGGCTTGCAGATCACCCGGGACAGAGCTCGCCGCACCATCACCCTGACTCAGTCACACATGGTGCAGCAGGTCCTTCAGCGCTTCGGCTTCCAGTTCTCCTCACCACAGGCCACACCTCTGGCTACCAGTCACTCGCTCTCAGCTCCACCTCCGGACGAGTCCGTAGAGCCGAGTGGCCCGTACCCAGAGCTTGTGGGCTGCCTCATGTACCTGATGACTTGCACGCGACCTGACCTCGCGTACCCTCTTAGCATCCTTGCTCGTTACGTTGCACCTGGGAGACACAGGCGAGAGCACTGGGAGGCTGCTAAGAGGGTGCTGCGCTACTTGTGCAGTACATCAGGCATGGGGCTGGTGCTTGGAGGACACGACAGAGTTGTCCTCACTGGCCACTCGGACGCTTCTTGGGTGGACGACCTGGCTACGCAGCGGTCGTCACAAGGTTACACCTTCAGCCTTGGCTCTGGTTCTGTCTCGTGGCGGTCCACCCGTTCTTCTTCTGTTCTCAGTTCTAGTTGTGAGGCTGAGATCTACGCCACGGCCATGGCTGCACAGGAGTTACGCTGGCTCACCTACCTGCTGACTGACTTGGGAGAGTGGCCTAGTTCTCCTCCAGTTCTGTACGGCGACAACAAGGCGGCCCTTGCCTTGTGTCAGGAGCACAGACTGGAGCACAGGACGAAGCACATTGCTCTTCGCTACTTTCTTGCTCGAGAGCTTCAGCAGCGCGGTCAGCTTCGGCTTGTGTACGTGGACTCGAAGGCCAACACTGCTGATATCTTCACCAAGGCGCTCCCGCCTAGTGATCATCAGCGGCACTGTACTTCTTTAGGCCTTGTGTCCACGTTTCCTCACTTGCTCACTGCTTGACATTCTTTGTACTGTACTTTATATATATCTTGTTGCTTGCTTGCTAGGTTTTGATCACTGTGTTGCTTGTCTTGTACTATATCTAGCACTGCATGTGAACTGGCCTTGTGGCCTTTGCTTGTGCTCGGAGTGTGGTGACGTTGTGATCCACCCTGGGCTTGTGTTGTTTTGCTGGACTGGTCTTGTGACCCTTTGTTCTCCCCCACTTTGCCTATGGGGGTGTGTTAAATTATAATGGGTTCTATGTTGGTAGGCTGTAGTGGGGTAGCCAATATGGGGTACAACCCCAACTAGGGTTTCATATTTGTACCCAAACTTCTGCTAGTTCATTCATTCTTGCCTAGTGATTCTGATACTGTACTCTATATTTATACCTGCATGCTTGCTCTTGCTAGGTATTGATCACTGTACTGCTCTTGTTGCTTATATATATCTCTGCATGTGGACTGGCCTTGTAGCCCTTTGCTTGTGCTCAGAATGTGTGGTGACGTTGAGATCCACCCTGAGCTTGCTTTGCGTCTCTTGACTGGTCGTGTGACCCCTTATTCTCCCCCACTTTGCCTATGGGGGTGTGTCAAACATATATGCTGCATATTGTCTAGGCTGTAGTGGGGTAGCCCATATGGGGTACAACCCAATTAGGGTTTACTACTTGTACTCCTGCATGCTGTTAGTTCATCATTCCTGCTGCTAGATTCTAACAGCATTTCGACACAAAATTCTTCACACAACTAATACTAGCTTTACGCGCCATCATCGAAATCCGCGCCTCCCACATCGTAAGGCGCATCTGATCTCTTTTGAGTGAACATTGACGCCCTGCCCTGTCTACGGGTATGGTCTAAGCGTGCTATCTCAAACTGTGCACAGTTTGGTATGCAAGCGCTTTTCTGGTTGTGGGAAGGACCCCACCCATCATGGGAAGCGAGAGACTTTTGTCGCAAATTGTTTCGCGAGTTGAAAGTCTCTCGCAACCCAAAAGAACCTCTCCGTGCCTGCCTCCCGAACCTAGTTTTTAGCGTTGACTTCCGTTGAGTAATTCAGGTCTTGGGCTTTAAAAACCGCGGGGGCGACGACGAAGGCGCCGATACGGGTATGTAAAACCAGTTCCGCGCAATTTTTCTAAGTCCCCCTCG